ACAAAACCCCAGGTCATGACTGTACTACCTGCCCCACCTTCAAGAATATTGGAAAAGTCAAACAACGTTCTTTCTCTAGACGCACCTGTTGTGTGCCATGAATGACAACATCTAATGTATGGCTTAACGTTGTACATAGCAGTCATTCCTCATTATCAAAATGATCGAACCTGTAAACTGGTTTGCGTTCATGAGAATTATGTTATATGAAATATATTATCATTATCATTATTATTAACCCCACCTGGTTAACTAGTTCACTGGTTACTGGCCGGCCCTAAGCCCGGGTAAAGAGGGAAGGTTGGGCATAGGACTAGCAACCCTACCCCTACCCCGTAAAACAAATCTAACCGCTAAAGAAACATCAAAGCACAAACAAAATATAAAAAATGATGACAAAATTATTCCTTGCTGGAATCGGAGAGGCGAAATGACGCCAGTTGGTGAAAGCCTTCAGAAAGCCAATTGACGGATGTGTCTTCTCTCGATGAAAGCGAAAGTAAAAGTGTGGTAATGGAATGTCCGCACGATATTTGAACCCAGCAAGGCAGCCCAGACTGCAAAGGAGATGAAGAGGTATCACACTGAAGTGCTTGGAATTTGCGAAAGCAGATGGAATGGGAGTGGACTCTCCAAACTGTCAACTGCAGAATCAATAATCTTCTCTGACGTTCTCACCCAGACGACAACCATGAGCACACTGAGGGAGTGGCTGTCATGATGTCCCCAAAGCATCGAAGGCTCTCATGCAGTGGGAACCAATCTCCTCCAGGATCATGAAAGCAAGATTCAACTCAAAAGGAAGGAAGGTCACAACCATACAATGCTATGCACCTACAAATAATGCAGAGCAAAAGAAAAAGGAGGAATTCCACAGACAACTTCAATCAACACTGGACAAGACCTCAGTTGGAGACATCAAAATTCTAATGGGCGACATGACTGCCAAACTGGGAGGGGACAACACAAGAAGAGAACTAACCATGGGTCGAGAGGCGCTGGGTGAAATGAACGAGAATGGAGAATCGTTTGCAGAATTCTGTACATTCAACGATTTGGTGATTGGAGTCAGGCAGTGTGTTCAAGCACAAGGATATCCACAAAGCGAGTGACATGGATTTCACCAGACACCAGGACACACTGAAAATCAGTTCGACTTAACCGGAATCTGGAGAAGGTGGGGACAGCCTACTGAACACAAGGTCAAGAAGGGGAGCACTCACTATCTAGTGCGAGGAACCTGCCTTCCAAATCAAGTTAAAAGCCTTCAAGAAAGCTGGTGATAGACCTCAGTTCAAGTACAACACTCGGAAACTGAAAGATGAAACTACAAAGGAAATCTCTTCACAGCAGCCATCAAGACAAAATGGGAGATATCGAGGAACATCCCTGAAGAAACCTGTGTGGAAGAACACTGGAAGTCCTTGAAAAAGATGTGGGAAGAAACCTGCACAACCGTATCAGGAAGAAAGAAAAAAGAAGATAAGGAATGGATCTCAATGGAGAGATGAAAGCTAATAGAGGAGGGAGAGGAGGATGGTAAAGCGGAAGATAAACCAGTGCAAGGATGCACAACGAGAAGAGGAAACGAGTACCATGTATAAAACACTACATTGGACAAAGAAGTGAAGAAGAGTGCACGCAAAGACAAAAGACACTTGTATGACACACTGGCAAGTGAAGCAGAACAGGCTGCAGGTAGCAGACACAGAGACCTGACAATATTGTGTCGAATAACCAGGTTGCTATCTGGGAAGAGATCAACGCAGACGAAACCAATAAAAGATGATGACGGAAATTTAATTACGAAAGAAGAGAAACAAAATGAACAATGGGCTGACCACTTCAAGAAGCTCTTGAATCAACCATCACCTGCACTTCGTCCAGAAATACCACCTGCAGCCCAGCCACAGAACTACAAGTGAACATAAATCCTCCAACAAAAATGGAAGTCCTGAGCGCCATAAAGCTACCGAAATGCAGGAAAGCCGCAGGACCAGATGGGGTCCCGCCAGAAGCACTGAGAACAGACGCAGAGACAACAGCATCGGACATGCTCACACCACACCACTATTGCAGAAGGTGTGGAAGGAAGGGAAGGTACCTGCCAAGTGGTTGGAAGAAGGGCTGCTTTGTCAAACTCCCGAAGGAGGGAGACTTCAGTGTTTGCAAGAACTGCGCGGAATCACTTTACTGTCCACCCAGAGCAAGCAAAATATTAAGCCACATCATCCTGGAGGGACCAAAGGATGCACTTGATCCCAAACTACGACCGGAACAGGCTAGCTGGCTGGATTCAGGAAGTACGAATCATGTGTGGATCAAATTGCGAGGCTACGCTTCGCATCATCATAGAACAGAGTTTAGAATGGCATTCAACTCTCTACCTCAACTTTATTGACTTTGAGAAGGCCTTTGACAGCGTCGACCGACAAGTAGTTTGGCAGTTGCTTCAACACTACGGAATACCACAAACCTTTATCAGCCTCATTCAACAACTATATGAAGACGCCCTATGCCAGCCAAGTAATTCACAGTGGACAGCTTAGCTTAGTGATGCTTTTGAAGTGAAGACAGGGGTGAAACAAGGTTGCCTACTATCCTCCATGATATTCCTGATTGTGGTCGACTGGATCATGCAGCAAACAGTGGAGAGCAAGAAGGGGGAGGATACGCTGGACTGCGGAAAAGAACCTGGAAGATCTGGGTTTCGCTGATGACTTGTTTGTGATGTCACACAAACTTGAAGATCTACAGGCGAAAACTAACAAGTTGGCAGAAGAAGCAGCGAAGACGGGAATTCAAGTGAATACAGAGAAGACAGAGGTGATGAAGATAGCGCACCAGCAACTCCAACGACAACAACAAACTCCAATCACCATCAACGGGAGAAACTTGAAGGAAGTAACCTCCTTCACTTATCTAGGAAGCACTGTTTCAACTACAGGCGGCACAGGCACAGACGAGGATGTCAAAGTCAGAATCGGAAAAGCAAGGCAGGCGTTCATTAGCCTGAAACCAGTGTGGAGATCTACACTCCACTCAGCATGTGGAACAAGATCCGGATTTTCAACACCAACGTCAAGTCAGTGCTCCTGTATGGTTCAGGGACTTGGCGCGTTACGAAGGGGATTTCCAATAAACTACAGGCACTCACCGACAACTGCTTACGCTCGCTACTGAAGATCAGATGGCCAGAAAGAATAAGCAACAAGGAGCTCTGGGAACGAACCAACCAAGAACCTGTCACCCAACAAATATGCACTGGAAGGAAGTGGAGATGGATTAGGCATACACTGAGAATGCCGACTGGGGACATCACGCGTCAGACCAGGCACTCGAATGGAATCCCCATGGGAAGCGACTAGCTGGACGTCCGAGGGTGACATATATGAGATAGTACGAGGAGGAAATGAGAGATTCTGGGCTGTCGTGGAGCCAGGTTCAAAAGATTTCAGAGAACAGAGGTCATTGGAGACGTGCTACTGAAGCCCTATGTTCCATTAGGAACCCAACGGACTAATAATAATAATAATAATAATAATAATCGTTTTTATTATTATAGAGCTGTCTTCGATCATTCGCAGAGTGGATGGATAATAACAGACTAGCACTTAATCTGGGCAAATGCCAAGCTATGTTTCTCGCAGCCCGGAATCTCAGAAGGCACCACGGAACGTAACTTATCCACACCACCGCAGAAAAAGACATGGGATTAATACTTAATTATAAGCCAGACACTAGCTCCAGTCGCCTAGGAGACGCCTCCGGAGTCTGCGGGGTACCGCACCTCATGCGCAGACAACTAAGCGAGTTCAATCCGGAACTCCTCCTTGGGCTGTACAAGACCTATCGCGACCTCACTTAGAGGCCCACAACATGATTAAACCACTGTACTCGAAAAAGTGTGAACCTCCTGGAGAAAGTTCGAATGCGAGCACCAAGGGGTGTCGTGGAACTTGGGCAGAAACTCCATGAGGACAGGCTGAAAGACGTGGGACTACACTCTCTTGGCTACCGTAGGTCACGCGGAGACTTGACAACGGCTTATAAAATACTAAGTAATCCAAGCCACCCTAACCATGGAATCCTATGGAATAGCAAATTTGGCAATCTTCGTGGTAACCCAGGGAGAATTTTCCACCAACAGGAGAAACGTGCGTGCATTTTCACTCCTTATCTCTGCGAGTTTGTGGCCACTAGAATGCGCTGCATGCCGAAACTGCCACCCCTCCGACAGCTGACAGCTCCAAGAAGAGGTAGGACAGCCGCGCAGCGATGCATAGTTCGTGCTCATCCAGCAGGGATATAGACTAGGTCAACACAACCTAATAACTTCCAACAACTCATAACAGCCAACTCACTATTGAATCTTTGGCACCGCAACTGTCATTGCGAACACTACCCAACCTTATACCTCTCTTTAGACATCTCCGATTACCACATCCTACCAATAGTATCACTATCTCTGTTCCCATAACCGTCCAGTAAACTTACTCCTTCTGCTACCTCTGTCTCTATTTTCTTACAATATCTATTGAAAGTCCTCCCTATCACCTACCCTCCATGAATCTATCTAGGTTTCTGCCGTTGCTTTCCGATTCCTTCCACATAGTCGTTTTTTGTTACTTCACTCTCCCTCTCTCTTCATTTGCCTGGACATCTTTTCTATCTTCTTTTAACAACCAGTCCGACCAGCTGTCTGGTGACACGACGCTTGGGGGCCGCATCTGCATCACAGCCATTGGAAAAACCGCACAATCCCTACTAGCCTAATTAACATCCAACCATCCATCAGACTAACCACAGCTACAGAAAAATAATGGGCAAACCTACTGCATCGGAATCCACCTGGAACCGCTCCACAAGACCTAGAAGGGAGCTCGGAAAAAAGCAACTAATTAACACTAGCTCGTAAAAAGATATTGAATATTAGAAGGTAAGCATGTCACATTTGTTTAGTCATTTTAATTTCTTGAACTTCCAAGTGATACTATGATCCCATAATTGCATCTTTTTTGAAAGCAGTAAGTTATCTAATATACTTCAGTGACGAAATAATCGTATGAAAAATCTAAGGTATGGTTTATATTACGTGACTTTTTTCTTTTATTTGTTGAAGCCACCAAAGTTTCATGAAAAATATCGCGTAAGATTCAGAAATTAAATTTGAAGTAAAATTCATTCTTTTATGATAAAACGTTGAACTACAAACATTATTTCCTCCACAAATAAGACTGCAAGAGTGGCCACTGTGTGAACTAGCCCATCCAGATGTTACAAGATCAGTGACAGACCTATCATCTTTTTAATGCTTCACTTTGGTCTCCAGCAGAAATCTTTTCAATTCAGCTCTAGAAAAATGTCCATTTATGTGCACCTAGTGACAGACTTCACGTTAAATAATTTCGCTTCCAATAATTTCATGTAACTTAGTTTGATCATTTATAGATGGAGGATTTTACTAACGGCTTTCTTTCGGCATCTTTTAGTTGAAGTATATATTAAAAATGTATATAGATGCTTTCAGCACGAAGCTTTTTTTACTGAAATTCATTTTTCAAAAAGGAGATTTAACTCATAGCCGTCATCCATCGTTATTTAAGCTACGGCATTATATTTCTGTTTAAGGTTCTCTAGAAAAAGACTGCTTCATCCTTAGCCATCAGTGAAAAATATCACGGCACATTAAATTTTACTGGATCAGGTTGCATTACACGAAGTCAAGATGGACCACGGCTTCACATATAACTTTGACTGAGGACACAATGGAGATTTATTCATATTCGTTTGACATAGTACAATTTGTGGCTTCTCAAAAATGATAGTGGTAGATTCGGTTTTTGGATGTAGATGGCCGATTATGGCTTCATTTGTAATCTGCAAACAGACCTCTTTAGTGAACCAACCCTCTTTTGAATGACTGGGTAAATAATATGGACAACACTGCTTATAGTGTAAACATCATAAGTTGAAGAAGGGACGGAACACAAGAAATCATCATCGGCTATCTCTACAGCACTAAAGTTGCAGTTTATAACAGCTTAAAAAGCAGTCGATACTCAGCTGCGATCTTTTTTAACTTTGATCTTTGTACTTGTTTTTCATATTGGTTGATCTATCTGTGCCTCGGTCAGAAATACTTTTAGAAAGCCATGGGAACAAGAATTAGGTCGCCGCTTAAATGAAGATGAGATAAGGGGAGGAGGTTTAACCTCAAGATTGTTTCCTCATTAGATAAGTCGCTTACCTTGGTCTGTCATAAATATATTTATAACCCAGGCTAGTTACGCATAATCGAATAATAGCCAATGAACTTGCAGGTTATGCTTGGTATTGCTGACAAGGGCATACTCATTCACCTGTTATGTCGAGGAAATATGAAAATCTTGTCTTGAGTAAGGATACCGGATTGAGACATATGGTTCTTCTTGATAAAACTTCAAAGTTTTGCACAGTATATAATTGCGGTCGCTAACATCAGGTAAGCACAAAGTCAAGTTGAAGAGAGCAACAGCACAGCACCTCACACTAAGCTATGTAGATACAACCTAACAGAGTGTACAATAAAAATTCCGAGATTACTTGAGCAAATAGTATGATATTTAGGTCAATTAGAAAGATTCGAGACAAGATAGAATACCTAAGTCAAAATCATTGAAGTGCATAAAACTCAAAATATAACATTACATAAATACGTCTTCTGCAGTGTGACTGATTTTGAGCCGTATCTTTTCGAAATCCTGTGTCCTCATGGATCCTATCATGATAATCTACACGACTAATGCCGTCGAGTGGTGTCCCATAGTCTTAACAGCCTTGCCTAGCCTTCGCCCGCTTTTTGGAAATCTGTTTCTACTTTTGGCTGGATGATTTGCAATCCAGGTAGTGGCTCACAGTACTTATATATATATATATATATATATATATATATATATATATACGCACGTATAACCAGACGTTTGTGAAAGTTTACAACCTCCTCACCTAGCTTAACCTAATTTCTGATACCTCTACATCTGTATCAGTATTCCGTACTCACCGACTTCATATCATATGTGAAATGCTTTCTGGCCGTTGGTTCTGTCGACCGGTTTACCAGTAAGTACATGAATGTGACTCCAAGCGGGCAACCTGGAGGAGACTGGTTAAAATTGTGCCACATTTCGGATCTTCATTTCACCTTCAACAATCCTTCGGTATCAAGAAGATGAAAAGATCAAAATACTGCTCCTCTCAATAAGTTGTAATTCATTGTTATTGCCTCCAAATCTGTTGGTAAAACTAAATCCAAACCCTTAACTCAGTGGTAACTGAAAGTCAAAAATCAAAGAGACACAATGTTTTTCGAAATTATTACAGCTATTGTCAAAATTTGAACCAAAACTAACAGTTTTATGGCCAACTTTGACAAAACATGTATGTATTAAATCAACCAAAATGTTGCAACTGTTGCTTACATGTAAGCTGTAGAGCCCATGCAATGAAGATCTTTTTTCATCTTTTCGTAGTGTGTATCACTTTTAACTTGAAAACTAGGATAAACATACTAGCTAAATGTAGCATGCAGAACGTGGGGTGTGTTATAACATTACACCTCACGGTAAAAAGTCAATACACCAATATGTAGGCAAGTAGACCATTATGAATGTGAAAGTTGACGCAACCTTATGTAGATTAACACAGCCTAATTTCACACTGGTCAAACACTCGTGAAAATTAAAAACAGGAACGACAACAGGACAAAAACTGTAATAACAAAAGTAGGAAAAATGTATTTGAACAAGAGGAACCGAACAATGTAAGAGACAAAATAAAAGATTTAAGATTACGAAATATTTCGAGGCTATCTGAAAGTAAACTGTATACTCATCTGCATCCATTTACTCCCTGTAACCTCAAATCTTCTGATAATGGTTTTGAATATCGCATAAACTAAAATCCATGACTTTAGACTTACAGTCGAAAACTCCCTTGAATGACACAAGTCTTTAGTGTGATAACCCTGCATGTTCCTACATCTTAATAAGACTAGACGCCCATCCAGTACCAAAATGACCAGCGAATGAGTATACGTTGTATCTGTCCAAACCATCCAATTGGGTCAACAGCGATCTCCAACTGACGCAGTTACCACTTTCAAAGTTGGTCCTTAAATGGTATTCATACATCTCACTATAACTCCAAAACAGAGTAGTTTTGCAAATACAAGACTTGTGATCTTTTATCTGACCCGAAGTTTCATCAACTACCAAGACTGATGTTTATCTTCCCCTTGTCAAACGTAAAATTAAAAAGAACGGCTTATGAAAGCATGTGTATTTAGTTGGTGAAGAATACATTCCAAACACTGTTCAATCATGAATCGAGGTGATAAGGAGACTGAAGCCTTTTGACTTTCCTCATAACGAAAGTGTGGCCTCTGTGACCTCTAGGTTAGCTGAGAAATCTTTGATTTGAAAACTGAAGCTTTTGAAGTCAGGGAAAAATACTATCTCTCTCTCCGTATGTAGCTTAAACCCTCGGATTCCAGTAGATGGCTTATGGATTCAAACTTTCCCTCGCTTACTGAGATTTAGACACCCAGGTAGTTTCATTTACCTTCAAGTGATAGCCCCAGTTCATATCCTGGTAATTGGACCTACAAACAGTCCTTGCGTTCCTTCACATTTTATATTGTAGAAGGATATAGACTAAATAAGGGGTATTTAATGGACAAATGAATTGTTCTTCTTATCGTTAACCAATTCTTTAAAGACAGACTTTGTGCTGTTCTCTGAGTGGCTTTATGATAGCCAGAAGAATAAATTAAACAAAGGCATTTTCCTATAACAAGGTTAAGTGAAACACCTGAAGTGACTACACTATTCTGTGGCCATATAATAAGTCAATCTTAATCTATTTATTAGAAATATCACACAGTGAAACGGTATCACTTACTGTTTCACTGTGTGATATTTCTAATAAACAGCTTAAACTGGAATTATCATCGACCACAGTGACTATGTTTTATTCCTATATAGCCATATAATAAGGTTATTAACCATTAGTTGGCATACCATTATAAGCATTATTATTATTGTTGTTTGTCCCTTGGGTTCCTAGTGGAACATAAGGCCTCAGTAGCACGCCTCCATTGCACTGCTTTCTCTGCAGCCTTCCCAACCTGGCTCCATGACTTCCCACAAGCTGTCATTTCTTCCTCACATGATCTCCCCTATGTCATTCTCAGACGCGCGACTCGTCGTTTCCCCCTTGGGTTCCACTTGACGGCTTGATCTGGTGCATGATGTCTCAGAATAGTTTTCTCAGTGTAAGCCCAATCCATCTCCAATTTCTTCAGCATAGGTTTTTGGCTGATCCGTCGGCAGCCAGCCAGCCAGAGTTCCTTGTTGCTTATTCTTTCCGGCCTTCTGATCTGATCTTCAGTATCGAGGGAGAGTAGCCGGCAGCTGTTTATGAATGTCTGCAGTTTGTTGGAAATGCTTTTGGTAACGCGCCAAGTTTCTGAACCATCACATAGAAGCACTGACTTGACTGACATTAGCGTTGAAAATCTGGATATTGTTCTTTATATTGAGTACAGTAGATTCCCACACTGGTTTCAGATTAATGAAGGCCTGTCTTCCTGTCCTTCTGATCCTGGTTTTGACATCCTCATCTGCACCTGTGCCGCCTGTAGTTGAAACGATGCTGCCTTACCTAGGCATGTGAAAGAGACAACTTCCCATAGGTTTCTCCTATTGATGGTGATTGGTGCTTGTTGTTGTTGGTTGGGTATCTTCATCACCTCCGTCATCTCTACGTTCACCTGAGGCCCCGTCTTCACTGCCCTGCCTCTCCTGTCAACTTGTTAGTTTTCACTTGTAGATCTTCGAGTTTATGCAACAAGACATTAGACATAAATCATCATCATCGGTGGCGAAATCCAAATGTTCTTCTGGGGTCTTTTCATCGGTCCAGCTAGCGTATGCCCATTCCTCGCTCTTCACAGTTTGTTTCATGATCCATTCCAATCCAGTCCACC